CGCGCCCGGCGCATGAGAATCCTCCCGGCGCCGGGGCCGGGCCGTGGGCGGCGCGGAACGGAGGGCGCTGCCGCCGGGGTGTCCGCGCCGCCGGGGCGCCGCAGGCGTCTCCGCCCAACACTGGCCTGGCCGCCCGGCCCTCCAACTCGTTCGCTAAAGCCGGGGGCACCGCGAGGGGCTTTCCCCTCTCTGCCGAGACTTAACGGTGCGGCTTTCTCTGTGGCGAGGAGCAACAAGCGTCTCCGATTACCCTTCAAAGTTTGCCCAAGTCTCTCGACCCCCAGGGCACAGTAACGCGCACGCTCCGCACACAGTCCGTCCTCGCCAGGCGAGAGCCCGGCGCCACCGCTTGCTCCCCACGGCCGCCGCCTCGGCGCTGCTGCTCCGCCTCCTCGCCTCGAGACTCTGCTTGCCTCCACCTCCTCCTCCTTTCCCCACTCTCGGCTCCTTCAGCTCCAAAAAGCTCGGTCCCAAGTTTCAGCCGAATGGCTGATTCTCGCTCAGAGTCCGATTGGCGCTTCTGAGTCGCGAGCTCAGCAACTTCTTTTTGGAAATCCGGTTACACTGCGTTGGTAGCAGCGAGGCCCCGCGCCCGCGGCCTGGCCGGGCCTCTCCCAGCCCCGCGCAGCCCTCGCCGCTCCGCCGCCGCCCGCCGCCCGCCGGGAGGAGCGCAGAGTAACGCTCCGGAGCCGCGCAACTCGACAGAAGAAGCATCGGTCTCGCAGGGACCCGGGCCGCCCCGCCCCTTCCCCTCCCCCCCATTCACAACCACTCCGGGGGCGTGCCCCCAGGTCCCCGGCCGCCCAATGGCCGCCTTTGTTTTCTCTGGAGCCGCCTTGGGATTGGGTGGAAGTCGGAAGGGGCGGGCGAGGGAACGAGGGAGGCGGTATCTGCAGCGCTTTGGGCGGATTCCTGAGGGGAGGGGCAGGGGCTGGGAGAAAAAAGTTAGGGAAAACTTTTACCCTGAATTCGTTCTGAGTGGGGGGAAACCCCCCAAACCTAACTCACCAGAAAAGGAATTGACTTGAAAGATTTGCACCTCTTACGGGCGTCCTAAACGACGCATTCTTGAACCGAAGGGTGCATTCATTCGCGAGAGGCTTTTGTGGGGAGAAGCAGAGAACCGTGCAGCGTCTGAGCAGAGACGTGACTAGGAGTCACGTTAGCCTCTTGGCCTCAGAATGCTGGCTTTGGAGGGGCTTTTAGGTAATTGAGGCTTGAAGTGAGGGAAAGGGTGCGCCTTGCAGGTGGGCTTTTTCCTCGCAAACCCGATCATTTAGACCATGTGAGGCCTCAATCTCCTCTCACTCCCCACCTCCTGCAGTTGTAGAAAAGAAGGAAAGGCTCCTAGGGTGGAGAGATCGGATTGGGGTGGAGGGGCCGACCCCCCTGCTGGGGACCCTGCACCACGCCGGCGCGCGCACGGCCAAGGGGCTTGGGTGCTGCTGTGGCTCTAGTGAGGATTGAGGAAAATGAAGACCGTGTTTGGAGGACGTGGTTATAAAAGTAACCTGACACTGTGTGCAGAGCGAGGCTGTTCTCCAGCGCGTCTGGTTCTCCTGGCCTGTTTTCTGTTCTTGGTGGCGAGTCTTGGTTGCAGGAACAATTATTTGAGCCCTCTCCCCCATTTGGAATCTTGCGTAGAAAAGTTGTAATGCGTATTAGAAACAGGTCCATGGACTAATTAGGGAGTTTTCAAAGCACAAAGAGGAGGTTATCCCCGTCCTCGGGTCGCGATTTCTGATTGGCAAGCGCTCCTTTGTTCTTGGTCGAATGTGCCTGGTTCTCGGCGCTGGGTGCTCACGCGCTCCCGGGTTATCCCTGGAGAGCTCGGGGCTCTCGGGGCCTCCCTCTGCAGAAAAAGGAGTACTTTGAATTTCCATGCAGGGGAGTGACATTTTGAGAAAGGAGGGGAAAATCTATTTCTACCCTCCCCCCGCCTCTCTCTCTCTCTCTCTCTCTCACACTCTCATACACACACACACACACACACACACACACACTCACC